CCCCCCCCCCCCCCCACTGGGGGTGTAATAGTGCAATAGTGTCAGATATTCTATTGGGCAGCGTACTGGTCCTAGCTATCTGTTTTATAAACAGAATAGAAAGGTTGGTAACAGCTTGTATGCTCATCACGTGCTGTATCAACATGGATGCATTGTTTAATGTTCATAACCTGCACCGTTATCACATCAGGTCCAGAAGGGTTTCCCTATCCCAACTGGCAGATCAATAATTCAGCATTTTGAGGCGCTTCTCACATAAAATTGTCAGAATATACTGTACACACGTCGCTTGAGCTACCTTTTCTACCAAAAAACGTTATCGTAGAAATTCGACAGTGCAGTGCAGAGCGAATTGGACCGGAATGGTGTGAATGGTGTATTAATTTTGATGAACATCCTTAAATGAACTAAAAAAAATGTATATTTCATCTCACTAAATTTGGTACACCATTACTCATTGATCACATATTCACACACGAAATTCAAAGCCGAATATCAAAATGAGTGAAGGGCTATCTCAGGTGAAATCTTGCTGCTCGCTTCCTATTATGGGCTTGAAGAATACATTGTACCTACAACAATCGGCAGTGCCTCATTCGCCATTTGTCGTTCACTCGAGTAATTGGCTATTTCATTACGATATGATTTTCTGGATTGTGTTGCAAGTGTACAGAACCTTTGAGAGCTTAATCCTCAGGTCATGAGCTTCGAGCTACTTTCAGACAGAGAGCGACTACATAGATTTGTTCAAAACGTCGACTAAGAAAAGTCTTTTCTAGAAAAACCTATATTTGGTAAAGCAGCGTAACATAATCTGAGCAGGATTATTCGATAATAACAGTTAAAGGCACTGTTCACGAAAAAATGGTTTCGGAGATCTGCACATGGTTTGAATTCGACGCCCCCTCTAATACCATTTGTGCAGGAATGAGGTCGGAAAACGGTCTGGATAGGGCACAATAAGGGCAGGAACAGTGGGGGACGGAAGACCTCCGCCCCTCGCTAGGCTGACTACGAAATCTAATTGCCGTTCATCACTTTCGCATTGGGCGAAGTTGTCTGCTTGGGTGTGTTGTCTGCTATTGCAGACATTGCGTCGCCTTCCTGCACTCGCTCGAACACTCCCTTAACCGCCGTTCTTCCAATGTGAAACTCGTCCAACCCTCCTTTCCAGCTCTTTTTTGACCCTTTCTATTTCTTTTTGTTCATCGTTTTTTGCGCTTTTTTTGTTTTTATTCTAGAGTAGTTCTATGGATTCCCGTCAAAAAAGGGTACCATAAATTTATCGTAAACGGTACCTTTAATAGTATGACGCGTTTCACGTACTACATGTGGCTGGAGCACATATAGTACGTAAAACGTGAGGATAAGAAGGAGATCCAACCTGCGCGTGTGTCGGCCATAGCCCTATGCTGGTGAGGAACTCAAAGTGAAAGTTCCATGTACGGCTTTCTACGAACCTCGGCATAACTATGTTACTGAGTTTATTGTTGTCTTGAACCCTTCAAAAGGTTTGTAAATATCCTTTATTAGGCTGACGTTAAGGCGGAATCGAGTTCTTCAGAACCTGAAAGGAACATAGCAATCTGTGACGATCCGATCAAATCTCCACCAACCCACTGAGTTCGGGACCCCTAGGGCACGCAGGTGGTGGAAAGGAGAACCACTCACCGTAACTTTGTGAACCCTTCGAAACCACCCAGCAAGTGATGGTACCAGCCGACCAGTTTCAGCTGGGGTACGTCCTCATTAAAGTCTCTTAGGGAAGGTCAACCTTATATAGGGCCGTAGCTCCCGCGTGATTGCGAGACATTCTTCTCTACGATCCACATCAGGATTGGTGACCTGCATTCAAAATGTCTCAGAAATCCGATGGTTCGATGACTCTCACATTCATTTTGGAGACTTTTTGAGGTCACCGTGGAGGTCGTAGCATAGGAATCGCACGTGTGCGCGCGAAAACCCTCGAGACATTTTAGATAAAGGTCACCAACCCTGATGTGAATCGTAGGGGAGAAAGTCTCGCAATCACGCGGGAGCTACAGCCTTATATAATATTGGCCTTCCCTAAGAGACTTTAAGAGGACGTACCCCAGCTGACACTGGTCGGTTGGTACCATCACTTGCTAGGTGGTTTCGAAGAGTCCACAAAGCTACGGTGAATGCTGCCTGCCCTGGGGGTCTCGAACTTAGTGGGTTGGTGGAGACTTTTGATCGGATAGTCACAGATTGTTATGATCCTTTCAGACTTTGAAGAAGGCGATTCCGCCGAAACGTCAGCCCAATAAAGGATATTTACAAACCTCTTGGAGAGTTTAAGACAACACCAAACTCAAAGTGAAAGGTATGCCGGTGCAGTGGACACAAATCTGTTATTCAGCAGTAGGAATCGGATAACAAATGGGCTCCACTTCCACTTCGTACTATTATGTATTCAACTGAATTCATCATTGAGAAAATCTGAAGATGACAGTGAAAATTAGTTATAGTCCAGAGATCCAGAGGGTGTTCACCTGGCCAATGCTTGAACGAGACCAGTAACTAAAAGATTACTAAGTTTTTCACTTCCAGAATTTATTGTGCTTGTAGAGAGATGAGCCTTCCTACTATCACTGCAGAGAATGCTTCATTTTTAAAAGCACCGTTCACGTTGAAACATTGCTTGGGGTTTTTCTCTTATTATAGGTGGGCCCGTGACTCCCAAAGATGGCACATGAGACGCTGTTGAGTCGAAAAACGACCCGGATCTATCGTAATAGGGGCCCAAAACCGGCTTAGCCGACGCACACACCTGAGACGGACGAGTTTTCACGGCGTTGTAGAGGCTGTAGAGGTTCCACCGGGCATACCCGTTTGGTTACGTTGCACGCACGCAGCTTACTGTAGGTAGCTGTGAGCAAGGGCACACAGCTCGTCCAAATATCCCTTCCATGTAACTTTCGTCGTCGCATTCTCGTCATTAATTACACTTTTTTGTGGCCCTGACTTCTTTTTTTTCAAAAATGAATTATTTTTTCAGAGGTTATTCCAACCTGGTACTGTATATTATTGTTGCTGTGATTGCCCTTCTCCTTATCCTCACGTCAGCCATCTTCTTTATTTTGTCGATAATGAACATTTCAAAGAGGAGCAAAGTAATGAAGTCTATGAAAACGCAGACGAAAGCAAAATCGCCCGCCAAGGATGAGCAAAAAAAGGAACAGAAGAGTTCTTCACCTGCAGTTCAAGAGAATCCAGAGAGCTCCAAAGTGAGCGGTGAGGCTGATCCCACACCACTCGCTAGCGACCCATCGAAGTCGAATAGAGATCCGTCCAATACTTCCGAACGGCCACAAAACTCAGCATCTCGACCATCTTCCACAAACAGAAAAGCTCCGGATCTTTACGCGAGTTTCGATTCCACTAATACATGGGACAAGGATTAAGAAATCGAGTTTCTTCCACTTTAAAACTTATTCATCTGCATTTCCAATGTGTCATAAAAGTGGGAAGTGATAAATAAATCGTTACAGTCTACTTCATACCTTTGAATCTAGGAAACATCATTCCTCAGACATAACAAATGTCACAATCACATCACAATCACATCGTTCAAAAACTGCTTCAAAAAACCATTCAGTATGTACAATTTTCGCACCTCTAGGGCACTTTCAGGAAACATAGGCTTACCTTGTTCATCTTCAAAGCTGAGCCCTTAACAAATTCAAAAACTCAGAATCCTTATTTTCTACACAATTGGTCTACGGCCATAGGAGTGTAAGGGTATGTATCTTCCCTTAGCAATTAACTCCTAGAAGGAACGGCTCTCCTCAGAAAAGTTGTCACGCAACTTCAAGGACGAAGCAGTGCCAACTAGCTGCATGAATTCATCATAGCAAAATAGTTGGTACTCTTATGCGATGGATTGTGGTATACTAAGCAAGTCCAAAGCTGTCAAATATTTGATAAAGAAGACTCCATTTGAGATGGGGGAGTGATACCGTTCGAGGAGGATTTGTAGAAACTGTCTATTTGAATGCGAGGCAGGGAATCTTTGAAGCTATCATTTAATTAAAGTAAAGACTATTCTATACTATCCGATTATAAAACTTGTATCCGGAGATTACGCTGACAGCGTATTACGAAACATCAGCTCGAAGGTCTCATTAGACATGGTTAAAACGAAGGTATGGCGATATAACAACAATTTCCTATCTGAACTGAAGATTCTCTGTCCCCCAGTTATTTGAGACCAATACTAATGTCCAAACTAATCTTTTGGATTGTCAAACAAGTTTGAAGGGATTTAGAGACTCCAAACGCGCAGTTGTTCCTAAAGCAACTTGACGGTCTGTGCAAAAGGTTGGTAGTACACACATGCTCGAGAGATGAAGGGACCGAGAGAGCTTTCTTCCTACTCAATCACTTTCACCTGCTTACTCAGTCATTGGATGTAATTAGTTTTTTGAGTATGCAAAGTATTCGAACTGGAAGGGAGGTGGGGGGAGGGTGCATTAGTGCATGTAAAACAAATCTGTTATTCTCCGATAATTGTGTATTCTTGAAATAGCTGAATGCCGTGATCAAAGGAGATGGAATGGGACGCCATCCAACAAAGGACTTCTATTAATGGGTCGACCAGAGTAGGATTTGATCCTTCAATTCCTTCAATTTGGAAATTTGCCTCAGATTTTCTCGACCTGCGTAATGAAAAACGCCTAACAAAAAAAAAAGACTAAAGCTCAGAAAACCACTATTTCGAACCTACTTAAGCCGCATTTCTCCCTGCTTGAGGTGATCCCTGTACTACACATAAATTACTTTATAATTACTGACTTTGTAATAACTTGCACCCCGTTAACCTACGCTGTAGGTTGAAATAGTACTTAATTGAATAAATCCTCAAAGACTTCTGCTTGTTCAAGCTCAGAAGAAGGCAAAAGGGTCGAAAAGTATCGAATGCTCGGATGTAAGGAGTAAATGTCTCAACTGAAAGGAAGAATGTCGAATTTATTGAGAGTAGAACTCCGGCACTTCTTTGAACGTTTCTTTAAGAATCGTTGATTTCTTCTGGCGCATTTTTTAAGGCGCATACTCGCGACCATGGTGAGATTTAAGAAGGCGTCCAAGCATTTATGTACATAAGTGAAGAGGGGAATCCGATAACGCCACTCTTCTAGACGTGGTGGTGATCGATATCATCACCTGGCAACGCCATAGTTATGAAATTCTGATTGCTAGTGATGCCCTATTAATTAGAAGGAATCACGAAGTCTTCACTAATTTTGCATATGAGCACTGAATACACGCTCAATGAGGTTGCTCGTCACTGTACTGCAGACGACCTTTGGATAGCCTACAAAGGAGGGGTACGTTTGCTCTTTCGCTTTTTCGGGCTTCATTCTTCTCGATTGCGTTCTGTTAGCTTGACGGAGAAGTCTTTTGAGAAAGTACTTGTTGTCATTTTTGCATTCAAACTGGCATTCCAACTGCGATTGGAAAATCGAGGTGGAGGTCCAATGAATACCCAATCTCAAATGCCCAATAAGCATTGCTTGTCAGAGAGGCATTTCAGGGGTTTCAGATTTGATGACTGGTGTCTCAGCTGCATTAAGAAATCTTCACAAACTTCATCCTTCTTTAAGCTGCATTGAACTGGATATCGTAAACGTTTATGTCTGTATGTTCCTCTAGCATTGAAAGCCAAGACTACCTGTATACATAGATCTGGCTCTATTCTCATCAGTATTACTGATCCATTTACTGCATATCGGTCTGCAGAAAAATTCTGATGTAATAGATGTGTATTGTACCGCTTCACAGAACACCACAGTCGGAGACTTTCCCAAAATATTTGAAAGAGCGAGACAAGGAAATTATGCAGAGTGACTTCCTATTTTATTACCATCAGGGTTGCTTTATGGCCGCATCAACCTCATGCTCTTCTAAAGCATAAAACATCCTTTTGATTTAGGTCAGGACTCGTTTAGTTTTACTTCTGATTTCTTCCACCCTTTGACCGTATCTGATACATAATGATAATTGCTTATGTTCACCCTTTGACACNATAGATCTAGCTCTATTCTTATCAACCTTATTGATCTATTTACTGCACATCAGTCTGCAGAAAAATCCTGAAGTAATGGAAGTGTATTGTACCACTTCACAGAACACCACAATCGGAGACTTTCCCAAAATATTTGAAATAGCGAGACAAGGAAATTATGCAGAGTGACTTCCTATTTTATTACCATCAGGGCTGCTTTATGGTCGCATCAACCTCATACTCTTCTGAAGCATAGAACATCCTCTCGATTTAGGTCAGGTCTCGTTTAGTTTTACTTCAGATTTCTTCCACCCTTTGACCGTACCTGATACATGATGATAATTGCTTATGTTCACCCTTTGACACAATAATAATTGCTTATGGGGCTAGCATTCTTGTGGGCGTAAAACTGTATATGTGAATCTGCCCATTTTTACATTAGTTGTCAAAGTGCTTCGAGAACAACCACGGTTCGGAGTATGTAAATCCTTTTTAAGATGTTTGTCACTGCCCACGGTACTGGTGCTTATAGTGTTGGTATTCTTGTGCATCTGTGCCTCCCGTGGAGTTAAGAAGAACCTATTCTAAAGACTTTACTGTTCGACACATTCGCCTTCTTTTAAAGTCTAAACGCAATTTGACATTCGGTCCTGTACGTTAGTCAACCAATCCTTTCCAGCGATTCTGATAAAGGGACCCGAAATTCAATAAAAATTTTCATAACATGACATCGCACTCCTTCCTGGTTCCGGAGTTGACTCTTAGCAATCACCGTTTCAAACGGGGGAATCAGGATGAAATTTTTCACTGCCTCATAAATCCCTAAAGGCGACCGGTCTAGCCCACCTTGTCGCGTGCTGTGTAGGGTCTAGCCGTTTAGAAAATAGTAAAAGTACACAAACTTTCATGATAAGCATCACAAGTTCCTGAAATCTTGCAATAGTTGAGCAAGGTGATGCCTTTATCTCTGTGCCTAAGTGCCATGAAGTATGAAAATGATCTTTCGTTTTAGCTTTATTGAAATGAATGTATGTTGCTTCATCGAACTGGAATCAGTATTTCCGCTTCTTGAACTTTGCTATAAAAGAACGCTCTTTGAACTAGGCACAAAATTGTAAGAAATGCATTCTTACTGTTTCACTGTCAAACCATTTTTGCAGGTCTACGATGTCACTTCCTATTTCAGCTCTCATCCAGGAGGTAATGCGATGCTACGGCAAGCAGGGAAGGTACGTAAAATCTACTTTTGTTTCAAGGTGGGAATGCCACTACGTTTGATTGAGAGCTGATCATGGTTTCCATCCCATATGTGGTGCTCTGTAATACCAGAAAATAGACATGCAGGTCATGCCGCTTTCATGCGACTTCCTACGCAACGAAGTTAGCATGGGACTGACTTCCGAGAAGTACCCACTCTTGGCTTTCGTCACTTTCAAGACACATATGTATATAAGAGATGCTCAGAAGAGAAGCCCTAGATGCCCTGAAAGTGCTCTGATACTTATGCGTAAATGTTTTCGACAAATGTTTTTACTTTATGGAGGTAAAGAGGACTGACTCCTTGGCGTTTGACTAATCCCATTTTGGGGATGCACGCCTGCATTCGACTTCCATTCAGAATCGTAGTGGTATAGTGAAAGCGTATGTGGCCTGTACCATGGCTTATGGTGGCCAGCCGAGGTGTAAGACAGTGTTTTTACCCTCGCAGACAAGTCTGTTGCCAATTGACCGACTCCTTAGGGGTGGAAGGCTCGGCTCTTGTGGGCGGTTCTTCATCGGGATTCGATCTATGGACCATGCGATATGTAGTTGCTATGATATGCAGCTTGCCACTACAACACATTAGAGCTTCGAATTTTTTGAAGACTTATAATACCACATGAAATACGTTTTGTCGGCAGTGAATTGGAACAGTAAGAACACGATCTTCGGTTTCCTCGTCGCAAACACGAAAAGCTAACTCACTCAGTCTCTACCACACGCTTAAGAAATTTTCAAAACACCCCAACACAGGAATCAGCATGGGACCGTTCCTTTTATGAATGGCCCATTTGAATTTGCAAACAAATTCCCGGTAAGAACCTGCTTACAGAGTTTTGAACCTACGCTGTAGCAGCTCAAATATCTTGAGCGATCCACAGATTTGAGGTGCCTGTTCCCTGCTGTATGCCTTTACTTCGTACTGTGCAAAGAAGCGCACATTCACAACTCTCACAACATCTCCAACTGGCTTAGACACTCACATGAAAATAGTATCCCATTGTTGGATTGGAGGAACGAATTCTGCTTCTACGATGGGACATGAAGCCCAACTGAACATTCCCAGAGAGCATGACTAACCATTTATAGGTATCAGCAGCCGGATCGCCGGAGTGACGCCGGACTCTCATTCATCTCGTCTTGAAGTGACCCGCCGCCTGCATTATTCCAAGTTTAAAAGCTCTGGTCGAAAAAAAAAACAGGAGCTACTGAATTTCAGAAAACGCACACACACCCCATATACACCACGCATTTATGTACATTGTATAGATGTAATGGCATAGATGCTCAGGAACCGAGCATCACTACCAATAGGGTTTCATTGCTTCAGCCTGGAAAAAAGAAGATCACATAGGAGCGCAATTATCGTATTATTGCAAGTAATCGACATTTGCAGCTCAAACTGGAAAGGAAGATGGGCTTCCTGCGACCACAAAAATTCACGAACCTTGCCTTTTAGTTTGACCGTACGTTACTCCTGCTCCAGCGCGTCAGTTCTGAAAACAATAACGATCAGTCCGATTCCATTCCATTCATCAACGATCATCAATTCATTAACACATGCAAGTATTCCTGTTTATCTTGCACCTGGACAACCCTTTGGAGGAGCATTGCCATTGCTATCAATCGAATGAATGGTGAAAGGGAACTGTTCAGAGGAAGCGTGTCAGCCATGAAGAGAGCTTCTACTGGTTGTGTTTGGTATGAGAAGCAAACGGATATCGTGGTGTTCAGAAGACACCCCCTAGATCGTATAATACTGTTTGGCTAGGTACCGTGTTACATTCATTACCTGTACCAATCCTATAGATCAACAGCTTCCTCAAGAAGGTTCCAGTAACTTCTCGATTCATCCTTCTCTTGAACCAGAGTTCTTCAAGGATTTTTACTTGCTCGAGGGACAACGCAGAGCCGTTCCATTCGTTCAAAGCTTTCGTTGGGAAGTCTGATCATTGCACTGGTGGCCATCCTGGTGTTCGTGTGATGAACTAGTGGATTCAGCCTTTGCGCTAAAACGACGGAGCTAAGAACCTCCGCATTTGCATGTATAGGTGGATTCCCAGCATCCCGTTTTCCACAACGCGTTGAAGGCGCTCGCTTCATGTTCATCCTGAAATTTAAGTCTCCAGAGTGTGATTCAAAGAAGGAAGGACCCGCAGTGTCGAAAAGGTGAGCACGGGTCCGAATGTTTTTCGTCTTTCTCGCAACTCCCTAGATATTCTCGAACGCTTCTCACGTATTCATCTGCTCAGCTCCTGAGCTAGGCTGCTCATCATTTGACTCAGACAATCGACGTAGATACACATATGTAGCTAAAGCTTTCAGAGATAACAGATCCGTTGAGTGTAAATGGAATATTAGGAACCAATCCGTGTCTAATGAACCTCGCTTTCGTTATGTTCAATCCGAAGCCTTACCACAGGCGCTATCAAATTCAAACAGCATTCTTTGCTTCTGCTCGATTTTCGGTGTTATGAGCACGATGTCGTCTGCAAAGCAGAGAGGATGTGGGTAGCGGCCGTCCACCTAGAAGGCACAGTTCACGATAATTCTGAGATACCCTTTCTAAGGTGAAAAGCGAAAGTATTGGTAGAGAATAGCGCGTAGGTGGCGAAGATATTCCCTATTTCATGAAAAATAAGGAGAAGGGCTTTTTCGAGACCTCGATTGTTACAATCGCGTTGATAGGAGACTTCCTTAAGCCATTATTTTCCAAAACTGTCTTTCACTGGCGACTACTCGTTTTAATTTCCAACAAAGTGAGTGCTCATGTGAATGGTGCAGCCTCTACAGCGTCGTTTATACTCGTCCACACCTGGGTGTCTTTTACAGTCGACACAATCTTCGAGCCCTCATCATGCTGTAGGCCGCTTTGCGATGTGACAGCGCTGCCTGTGGTGTGTGACAGGACCAAAGATTCTTTTTCTAAGGGGATAATATCAGAAACCACTTCTATCGTGGACCGTGGCTTCTAGCCTCATGTCAACCCATTTCAAATAGCGCATGATGTTTTTGAAAGCAACACTGAAAAGTGTGGACGATATGGTATGCGTCCTAAACGCCGCTCTTCACATTGACAATGACTCCACTGGACGAACACAGAAGACCAAGTGCCAATCCCGCTGCCTATCTACACAGCAGTCCCTACAGATACCATACACTTGGGCACGAGAAAAAACGCTATCCTTTGATGTGAAGGCTTTGCTATGTCTCTAAAAGGCAAACATTGAAAGCACGGAAAACATACTGCATCAAACTGGAAATCAACGCAAGAGAAGAGATGCATATAACCTCCTGAAATTGATTGAATGATAACGCTTCGTCGCCTCAGGATTGGAGCGGCGTCCGCCAATAGCCAATAGGCTCTCCCTCTGAAGCTCTTACCAAAAATATAGTAATTAAAGGCACAGCTCACGATTATTTTTAGGTACCCTTTTTAGGTTGAAAAGCGGAAGTATTGATGTAGAGGAGTACATCGGTGGCGAAGAAAGCGAGTAAGCCCGCCTACTACTCAAGCTTTCTAAAGGTAGTGACAGTGGAGGTTGTACGAGATCATCGCGGCAGGAAATGCGTGCAAGGGATTTTCGAACGAGGTTTAACTTGCTCCCATCGTGCAAAGAGCTGACTACATCAAATCATAACTGTCCAGAATTGCCTTTCGCT